GGAACCGGACAGCAAGTGTTATCAATGCAAGCTTTGAGAAAACAGCTAAAGCCGCTCCACAGCGCTGCATGGAGCCAGCTTGGGTGTGCCACACCGCAGCCCAGTAAATCACCTGCAGATGACGGAGTCAAAACTACGAGCCTAAGTGTCAGTGCCAAGCGCAGCATTACACAGAAATTTATGTGGATTACCATTGAACATTCCAGGAAATTCAGACTACTCAAAGAGGATTCATAAACACAGTCACTCAACTGTTGTATTAATTATTCACTAGGAATTAATGTCTTCGCTCTACTCATTAATGACCCAGAACATGCTATTCAATACTAAAGTACCTCCTATGCTATGGTAAAAGACTGTAAACACAACAGTATCCTGCAGAAGATCACACATTCATTACCTCTTTCTTTCATATGGCCAGTAATCTGTTTCTTACGTCACAACTTTATTAAAAATACAATCTGAAACCACTCAAAATAGCACTAAAAAAGGCTTTTAAAATGTTGTAATCACCTTTGTGCCTCACACCATTATAAGGTAAAAAAGTATAAAAATAATCAGCACCAGTTATTTGCATTATTCATAAACACCATGGAAGAAATAACAGCATCGACTTAATCATCAGTCAAACCTTTCCTCTTTTGATAAAATTGTTCCGTATCTAATGATATCAGCACTGCGTTGGTGTAAGCTGATATTAGTCAACGTACGATCTTGGCTCAACTTTTTAGACACTTGGATCACTTATTGCAACAATGGAAATTGATGAAGCTCTAAACAGTTCTCCAAAGGTTCTGTGTGAAGGAAAAGTTCCATCAATTGAATAATTCAAAGCTCCTGTAAAAGCTGAAGTTCTCTGTAAGTGCTAAATATGAAGTGGTGGGAACTTAACTTGCAGCTTTTGAAAAATAGCTATGGGTATGTACCCAGTGACTATGTATCTTGAAGAAATACAAACAGCTTTTCACCAGAAGTAAAAAACAAACACACACGCACTCAGAACACCACCGTCTTAAAGCTCAACAATGATGGTGCTTTATTCCCCAAGATTAAGGTCCAAGAATTTTCCATCCATTAATCAATATAAGTTATGACTTTGTAGGCATTTGCTAGTATATCTCTCAAATTCATAACACAAAAAGCTGCAAACAAAAAGTGTACAAAAATAATTATGCTTTACTTCTTATAAAATACCTCTGACCATGGTGGTATCACCCCATTTCTAGAGGTGATGAATTCTTGCAGAAAAAGTGTAGCTAGCTAATTTACTCAGAATCACACAGAAGAGTCTATGGCGGGAACAGCAATTGAACCCAAAAATGCTGATAGGTTTAGCCATGACATTATCCTTGAATTCTGAAAAAACACAGGGATCAAAATGAAATTTAGATAATAACAGGAGCATCAGATGTTCGAATTCAGAAGAAAATAAAAAGCAATCCCATTTGCAATTTCTATCAGGCCCGCTAAACATTTATATATTGTTCCAACACACCAACCGCTCCTGTCATGCCACTGTTACGAATCCTGCACTCGCTAAAATCCGTAACATTCTGCTCACTTACAGCAATTTGACAGGAAAACAAATGAGAACAGAAAACTGAAGCTTTCCCATGCTGCTGAGTGCAACAATCACGAAATTAAATCCTGAATCCTAACTTTGAATCTTTTTGACAATAGACAACACTCCCTAGAAAATACTTCCATGATAATTATTATTATTTTTCTGGCATTATGCTTACATGAAAGTTAACTCGCTGGTTCTGAATCCAGAAAACAAACAATGAATGACAATTATTAAAAGCAAAATATTACTGAAACACTATTGACTTTCAGAGTATGAGGAAAAATTAATTGGCAGATGTTTTACATAGCATAATTAACAGTTCATTTCAATGCTCTGTAACAAGATTAAGATAATTATGCTCAGAAACAGAAATGTAATAATGATAAATTACTAGTTTTCATATTACGGTCAATCTCCTACATTCCAAATAATCACCATGTTTAGAAATAGGTGCGTTTCATGTTGTCACCAGCTATACAAATGGTGCAAAGTCGTGGCTGGGTGAAACAACCTTTCAACCAAGATACAGGAGATTTCCTTGCTTCAGGAGTAAATGCAGCGCCTGTTCTGTTCGTCAGCAAAACAGAAGGTAGAAACAGCAGTACTGTTTTCACCAGGGCACAGTTACTGGATAGAAGCTGCAGTTGCATAGCAATTTGCATTTCCTATGGATAACTGGAGAGCAAAGCTTAAATTTTGCGAGCTTAGCAAGTTACAAAAACTCCTCATATGGACGTTCAAGAATGAGAATATGAGAATCTGTATTCTGTGATGGTGTGCAAAATATGAAGTCATATGCTTTCCCAGTAAGAAATAACTCTCTCAAGGATTTCGGGCCACAAATAAAGCAAGAAAAAACTGATTTTCAAGGTTTTCTTCTATTACATCTATGAAGACTCTAATTATTATATTCAAGTGCCACGATATTAGTGTGAACTATTTCAAAGTAAGAGTTACATAAATGTAACCCCTGAGTGTTAATAATGTGTTGATAAATTAGGCTTTCTATTTTGGGGTCTACGTATAAATCTTATTTCAGGCCTTCCATTTTCAAGGGTTTTTTCTTTTTTAATTTCAAAGGTGCATTTTTCTTCTATTTCCTCACAAAGACATAACAATAAAAAAACCCCACAAACATTTTGCCCTTAAATTGAAACCAGATTTTTGTTTCACCTTTCTCATTTCTATAGCTTCACTGCTTTTATCATGCTGGTTTTTGTTGGGGTTTTTTTGCTTTGCTTTCTACTATGAAGTCCTTCACACTTGGAGACTAAAACCTCACAACTAACAGCACAAAGATCAGAGCAGGCACAGAAATAGAAATTGCAAGATTAGAAATCTCAAAGACCTGAAAAGTAGACAGAGGAGGAATAAATAGGGATTGAGGCAGAACCAAGGAGAATAAAGAGAAGCATTGAAAAATACTTTCAAAAATAGTAATTTTTGTAGAAGTGTGTAACTGTATTATTAATGTGCAGCTGAGGAAAATTAGTTCTGTAGAACTGGAGTATCACACTTATCCAAAGCAAGTCGATTGGAAGAAGGGAAGTAAGTGCAAAAGCATTGTGCATTATAAATACCTACTGGCACCTTTCATGCTTAGTCTATTTTTTATTCCCAAGGGTAGGCAAATTTAGAGAGACCTATTGTTCCTAATATTGATCACTGTTGCTCTGACCCTTCAAATAAAAAACAAAATATCCCACCCCATAATGAATGAAAAACCCATGACATTACACAAAAAAATTTTTTTTATTGGACAGCTTTCTAGCTTCATTTCCTCACTAACCAAGTATGTCTCCACATGTTTCCCAATTCCTTACTCCCAAGGCTGGCTAGGGCTTTCTGGCTGGTTTTTCAGAGATCCCCAGCTACCCATATGCTCCCTGTCCCTTTTGCATAATCCCCTGGTTAAGAAGCAATTTTTAGCTCACATTTATGGAGAAAAAATGAGAGCTACTTATTTTCTTTTGGTCTTTCCTTAGATGAAATCAGCGTGTTGGTCCCAAAATATAGCAGAGAAAGGATTTTACCATGGAATTTGTTACAAAACATTAACTTTGCAACAGATGAGCAATTGATTTATACAAACACCTTGCAGGAAATCTGCCTAATCTTAATGAGGTTTTGGGGCAGAATTTCAACACCTAAAACCAGGACACCTTTATAACGCTGCACCCACAAATGATTCTCAATTGTAGTCAACTACAGGCAGAAATACTGGCCTGGGCTTTGATCTTTGATCTCCTTACATATCAGCAGTATGTGGTAAGAAACTATGGAGATAAAAACATACATACTCTAATGAGATGTACTAAATAGATACTGTGAGGCGTGTCCGAAACAAAGATACACCCACGATTTTGCAGAGCCCTTATGCAAATGACTTTCAGACACGAAGGACATCAAAAGCCGGAGGGGTAAAAGTGAATATTGCTACATTCAACCCAAACGCCTGTTTTAGCAGTTATGTTCCATTGGCCTGAAACATTAACAGTATCAACCAATGTACCCTTGACTATCTCAGTGAGATGGCACTTACATCTCTTTACCTAGTCTTGACTTTCTTTTTATCCCACATGCCATCTCAGCATTGCTGCTAAAACATTCTGAATCACCTAGACAAGCCGCTTCTGTTTTCCAGCATTCTAACTAATTTCAAATCCCAGCACGAATCCTCTTAATTTCTCCATAATCTAATTTATTATTTAATTTTTAAATAGGTACCTAACTGAATGGAGCTTCTTGAAGTATGTTTTTAGCCAAGATACAATATGCCTTTAAGGTAATATATTATTGTTATATCCTCTGCCAATATTTCATAAAATAAACCTTTTATTTCAGAAAAACTTTTTACATATAATAGCATAATATGCGTTAAGACCAATCCTGTTCCACTGACTAAAATGAGGTATATAAACACCATACAACCTCAACATACAGCCTCACTGATACATCACATACAAACCTGTTACAGCCTTCAAAGGGTTAAACTTGATACCGCTGCCCCTATTATCAGTTTCTTAAAAATAACTAACAGTGGTTTGCTATGAGGATACAATTGAGACTTAAATCCAAACTGCCTCATTTCTGTGTTTGTATCTCAGGTTTCAGTCATATAATCATGATTTAAACAATTAGTTTCCACACGTAACCCAAGCTAACAGTCTACTCATGCGAACTTTAGGCCTTTGGCTGCATATAAAAGACGTAATTTCAAATAGCACTTGAACATACATAATAACTGAATTGTATATAACATTCAAACAGTATTTGAAATTACATTAAAAAACGCATTAAAAATGTAAAGCTAGAGAGAGCCATCTACAGTATATAAGGTGAAAGAAGGATCTGTGGAACTTTGATGGAGAAGTGCCATATCAGTTTAAAAACATTTGGGAGTCTTCCAGTATGGAAAAGACAAAGCTCTTACCGTTTCCTTTGGAATTTGTGACTGGCTTTGTTCTGCATTCTAAAGGAAGTAAAAAAAATAAATAAGAACACGACTACACACGAGACATACTATCTATCAACAGGGGGATAAACAAAGAGCTCTAATTCTGACATGAAGTGGTAATGTGAAAAATGAAGGGTGTTCATCACACCCCTGATTCAAATTTGTCTAAACAAGCACTAAATGAGAAGTGAACAAAAGTAACCTCCAGCGATCTGAGGCCAATGCACCTGACTTTATCTGTCTACGAGGGAGGTGGCTACCTGGCCAAGGAAGAATCACAGCTCCTTGCACCATTTTCTGGCTGGTGGAATGCTCTCGCTCAGGGATGTTCTCCCCTGGCCTTTCCCTTCTGCTCTGAAGTTTTCAAAACATGACTTCAGCAGTCCAGATGATACCTTCCAAATATTTTAAACAAGTACCTATTTTTTAAAACATCCATTCTCATTTTAACAAGGGATTCCCCATTTGAAGTATGTTTTTAGCCAAGATACAATATACCCTTTAAGGTAATATTTTATTTTTATATCCTCTGCCAATATTTCATAAAATAAACCTTTTATTTTAGAAAAACTTTTTACATATAGTAGTATAATGTGCATTAAGATCAATCCTGTTAACCTCCCCATTCATCCCCTTTTGGATGAACCAGAACTACAGCACTGGATATCCCAGGACAGAAGGGTGCTTTCGGTCCACCACAGAATGGAACCCTCCTGTACCTTGCATTCCTCACCTGTGTCTTAGGGCACATGAGACAAACATACAACATTAGAAAACCATTCTGCATCCCCCAACCAATTCTGGAAACACGTAAGGAACTACTACTCTTCCAAGCCCACGTCCACCCATATTAAACCCTCCCGAGCACCCAGGAGCCACCTTGCTGCTGGCCGGACGATCGCTTTCGTGCTAACCAGCTATTTCTTTCCATTCAGCTGGGCCAAAATGAAATGCTGGGGTTTACTGGACTTTTTTGTTTTGGGCTGTTTTGCAGGAAACTCAAATGATTAGGCACAAAAATGTAGTGGCAAAGTACTAACACAAACATCCAGTTAGCTTTAACCTGCAACCAACCACCAATAAGAAAATAACGATGAAAGAGCCAACTACCAGGATCACGTAAAGGACCTACATGTACCAATGGGCATATTAACTTGTAGCGTACAGGAGACTTAAGTCTGCCAACCAGTCTCTGCTGATACTGAAAATTTAGCTCAAAAGCGAAACAACCCAAATCAATCCTTCAGTGGATTCACAGTCAGTAGCAGACTCCAAGAAAATTCTTCACAACAAGTTCTGTTTGGTTATGTGAGGTAACCACAGTATAACAGGAGCTCTACTTAACCAGAGTAATCCTCACCCTTTTCATAAAGGGTGCAGGGAAGGAAGATTTTTAAGAGACAATCTGCCTCTCACACTGATACGGACAAGCCCTAATATATATCCTATCTGGCCTTAGGTAACTCTGGAAGCAATAAAATGCCTGGTATTCCGGAGAAGCAAAATCGTTCTTCCAGATCTCACTGGTTAGAAAAGTTAACTCCTGCCAATTTGATTTTACTCCCTGCTTCCACGTTTTACTGACTTTTACCATGATCTGCTGCACTGGATGATGGCTCTCCATCACACACACCCCCCCTAACCTGACCACACAAGCTACGAAGATCCCATACTAGCCTAAAGAGACTCAGCTTAACATCCCTGGGAGTTTTAGACATACCTACACATTTTCGCAGGTCCCTTCCAGACTGTAATGGCAACATACATCAAAGACATTAAACTCCACAACTCTCCTGAAAGTTTATTATCTTCATTTTACTTATAAAGAAACCCACGGATAAGTAACTTTTCAGAAGTCATTCAACAAGCCATAACCCAAAACGTAAAATATAAACACCTCTTTTATTGGGATTACTATCTGTACAAATGTCGGCAAATATAAAATGGTTTTAATACCGAGCACTCCTCAGCAAGCAACAGCAAGTCCTGCCTTTTATGAAATGGATAATAGCAGATAACATGATTTTATGCATACGGTTTCTGAGACACATCTCATTCAGTTAATATTTAAAGCATACAAATGTAGAAAGTATGACAGAAATAGGGGAAGGATGCAAAGACAAATTGTTCTTAAATGTCCAGAGAAGGTTTGCATGTGAAAAAGTTGAACTGACATGATTTCAGATCATTCCCCTCCCTCGTTCAATATTAATTTTTTTTTCTGTTTTTTGTACATAAAGCTAGTAAGAGTCAATGAGAGGAGCTGGTTGAAAAATACTTTTTTTTTTTCTTTTAGGCTTGTTTCTCATGAGAGAAGAAAGAACAGCCAACAGCCCTTATGATGGGTTTTTAGTTCAACACCTTCCCCAGCAATTCTGCTCCTGCTCTTTGACAGCTGTCAGCAGAGCACACCTAACAGTTCGTCATGTCAAAATGCAAACAAACAAATCCTTATGCTACAAGAGGATCATTGCACACATGTACTGTCAGATCCTCACAGTATCATTTGTTCAGTCGGAGCTACGGAAATGTACACCAGTTCAGATCCGACCTCTGACTACACAGCGCAGAGCCCACCTACTACCTGACACAGCCACGATGAGATCTGGCTTCCCTACGCCGGCATTCGCCAGAACAGCAGCAGGGAGGCTACTGAGGTTGAACTCATTTGAAGGGGCTGATTTGCCGTTATTTTTAAAACTACATCAAGTATTACTATTAAATCTCTGCATTATTCACATCATATCTTTGTTTACAATTATTTAAACAAAATACTCGTTAAATTATGCACTATAACTTCCTCATTTTACTATAGAAATAATATACACAAAATTAAGGCGTTTTCTTACTTCTAAGTTTATTTAGAAAACTCAAAACGCATTTTCATTCACCTTTATGTAAGATAGCAATACTGTGAAAATTACATCATAGGAACTTATAAACAGATTGTTTTCACAGTTCCATTAATAAGGGAGGGCATAATACGATTTAAAATTGTTAATTTCTCTTCATTTTATGACAACTTTCACTTCAGAACCTGAAGACATGTTCCAAGAACATTAAGATAAAAGTGTGGTTCGTTTGCAACCTTCCCTGCCACTTTGACTTAGGAGGTTTAATTGTAGTTTTGAAAAGTAAAAGGCTAATGTTAAACGTCTTGAAATGGCCAAACAAAAATTCATTCTCTGGTACTCAAAATAACACAAATCCAATAGAAAAATGAAGCAATCAATTCATCATACTTATATTTATCGCTTATATTTGTCTATCTTCTCATGATAATGCAGCCAAATAAGTTATTTTTAGAGTTATATATAGCTACAATAATACAAATAATAAATAACTCCAGCAGTTTAATTCAATACAGAACAAAGTAAGACTGCTACATTCACAGTCTACCTTTTCATAACAGAAATTATCTTGAATAATTATCAGAGAAATATCTGTATACACTATGCAAGTGGAGCAGGTACAGTATAAAACATCATTTTATTTCCATTTCGTGTAAATTCCTCAGAAACATTTTCTGAATTACCCTGCTAAATTAGTAACTGCAGGGTTTCCATTCCACAGAGATTGCATTTAAATTCAAAAAAGGCTACTATTTCTTATATATTTCACTTTTTGATAGAAAAGTATTTACATATCCTGTTTTAGCATAGCATTATATGCTCTGAAATATTTTAGTGAGCAGGTCATGGGACAAATAGCAGGTTTTCAAACATAGATTTGTCTATATGAAAGATATGAAATAATCTACTTGTAAGCATGCATCCAAAAAAGTCCATCCAATAGCTTCTTCTATAATAAACATTTTTACTCAAAATAAAACTCTCACTTGTACATTATTAACAAATATTTAATTCCAATAGCAGATCTCGGAGAGAATAAAAAACATTCATGTAAAATGTTCTAAATAAAGCAAAATAGTTTGGTTTTTTTTTCTTATATTCAGTGTTGGCCATGCATGTTTACTAGCAGGTGACAAGATCAAATCATTTGCTCATACTCATCTAAATCTCTTAGTTGCTCTCTATTTTACGCACCAGTTCCCTTGGATGGAATGTTTCTTCCTGTCGAAAAATCAGAAGGCCAACAGTCCCTCCCATCTTGGTGCTTCGCAGCAAGGACACAACTTCTTCTTGAGTTTTGCCTGTTAAATCAACTCCATTTACCTATGACAAAAGAAATATTAGAAATTGATAAGACTCCAAAACAGGAAAAATAGTAGAAATTCATACCAAAAAGTCATGGGAATCGTATGGGACAGTGTTTAAAAAAACCCCACTGAAGCAATCTGCCTATTGGCTCAGTATAGCTTCCACTTAATAGAACTAATTAAATATGCATTCTTTACATACAAATACAAATAAGAAGCAAGACAGTAATATTTCCTTCCTCTTTAGCAGCAACTGTATACTCCAGTATACTCTAAAGCCAACTAATTCCACCTACCAATATTTTTTACAAGAATTCCTGCATAAAAATCCTTTGGCAAAATCAATGTGTGATCCAAAACTGGTTCTGTTTCCACATACCTTTGTGTTATAACATATCTTCCAAATATATCTTGCACAATAAACTGTGTCAAAAATAGAAAATATTTTTTTTCCCCAAAATAACTTTGGAGCAGTTTACTCTTTATTTTGCCTTTCTTCAGCAGTCCAACCTCTTCGCTTCCACATACAACTTACTGGTACAGACAGGTATAGAATACATACAGGTAAATGTCCCACTCTATGAGCTAACTTGAGTAAGGGAGAAGCCAGAGGGAGAGAGGGTATTCTCAGGCTTGTCCAGAAACATTTTGGAAATGTAAGGCAAATCAGCTAGCACAGTTAAGCAAGTGAGCATGGTGCTCTGAAGCAGTCAGCAAATCATGTTCTTCTTGCCCTCGGAAGAGAACACAGCTCACACAGTTGAGATGCCATAGCTATTGTCTTAAATGCTTCTCAGTCCCCTTCTACCCAAGTCACCTGGGTTACCTTGAATTACATTCAGCAATGACAGTAATTACAGAGGGTTATCCTCCAGCAACAGTTCAGGCTGACTTTGCCAATTTTGCAGTAAAGTGAAGTTAGGGCACTGGGAGGCAGTTAGTCTCAGCTGTACCACCACTGTAATTTGGCTTGGGGGTGGTAATGAAGAGCTGTGGGTGGTAACATCTTCTATCACTCCAGATAGATTTGCAGGAAGATCTCTGCTGTGTGCCTATCGAAGAGGAATTTAATTCCCCTGAGGACATCCTCCCTTCAGGAGGGAAGTGGCCTTGATTCTCTGTAGCACTACCCTCCTCTTACATTGTCCCTTCCAGTTAATTCACTAAACCTTTCCAGGGTTTTGTCTTCCATACCTGGCAACATCTCCAATAATTTCTGGTCTGTCACCCCGTGCCGATTTAATGACACTTTAATAAGTGTATTTAATAAGTGTGTAACAATTACTCTGCTTCATCTTATTCCTAAACAGCAATGCAAGACTATGACACTATATTCACATAAGGACATGTAAACTCATGTTTTCCTAAGTACATTTGGGTCCAGCTCTTAAAACAGTTATGTACTGAAAACACACAGCCCTTGGTACGTTGCCTAAAAAAAAAGAAAAAAAAAGGAAAAGAAAAAAAAGAGGGAAACATTTTCCTATAACATAAACTACTAAGAGCTTTTGGAAGTGAACTAGTGCATGGGCTCACGCCACAACACAGATGAACAACATGTAACACTTCATCACCTCAATTAATCGGTCTCCAGCTTTTAGCCTCCCATCTTGAATAGCTGCACCTCTTGGAAGGATGTTTTTCACATAAATTGGAGCAGAGCCACCAATTGGGACATCTCTTGAAGTAATGCTAAATCCCAAGCCTTCTGTACCTGCACAAAGAATGTAGAATATTACTTGTTAAAATACAAATTTTATATTATATATTATTTTGTCTACCTCATTGATTCAATACATGAAAATACGCATATAAGATGTAAGAATTACTGCATGGCAAAAAAAGAAAGAAATGCATATATAGGAAGGCTCTAGCTGAGGCACAGAGTCTTGGCACAGGTGGCACAGCAGGCCCTCCTTGCAATTTGCTGTTCTGACAATTTCTAAGTCATTGCCATATTTCCAACTTTCTATTTCAGATGAGCTGAGTGACAAGGAATCAGAACAAAGCATATCTGATATACTACCACTGCCTTCCCCCTTGTCAATCTGGATCTCGTCAACGATCCTTTCCTTCTCTTTTGCGACTCTCTCAGCAATGTCAGTCAGCCGACACTGCTGGCCACGGGGCTTTGTCAGCACACTTATGGACACCGGCAGGTGACAGACAGAACCAGAGCTCAGTGGTCTCATTGCTTTTGCTCCGAGGGACCTCGGGCTGTTTTCTGTCAACAGCTTCTCCACCCTGGGGCTTCACCCCGGCTCTTGCTCGGTTCCACCCCACCTTCTGCCATGCAAGCAGGGATCAGAGCCAGGCTGCCACTTCTGAGGTCTTGCTGTGCATCTAGGTGACTGACTACACTCGGCTAAGACTGACTGAAGCAAAAAAGAGACATTTAAGATGACCTGGAGAAATCCAGAGAGGGGGTCCAGTCAATACGGCAAATAAGGTTTGCTTGTACTTCAGAGAAATTATGCCCACAATGGTTATTGAAGTGTACCTTAGGACCCCACCAGCTCTGGGATTCACAAGCTGAGAGGACAAACAAAAGCCTCTCCTACCACGCAGAAAGCTCATTTGTGATCCTCCCTTTGATGCAATCTGCCCAGTGTTATCAACAACCTTTGAAACTCTACGTTGAAACATCCCCCACCCCTTGCCCAACATTGCACATCAAGTCTATTCAGGGCACTTAATCCAGCATGGAACGCAGTCAGCCATTCAGCAGAGAGCATCCCTGACAGTGACAGCACCTACAGCTTCCATTTGAAACATCCCAGAGGTTGTCAAGATACGACGGTAGTTCAAGTTCACTAGCTAGGCACACGCATGCCGAACCTACATTTAATCTGACCTACTACAGCAACCTGCAGTTCGGACTCGGCAATATCAGGTATGGTCCCTAAAAGTTGCACAACGCACCCCTTTGCATAAAATGACAGTCAGAAGCTGAACTTTTATGCAACAGTCCTCAGTCTTGAGCCCTGGGAAGTTGAACACAACCTGTGTGAAAGACACACAAGTAAATAACGAATTGAGGATAAAGCCTGAATTCATTTCTGACTTACTGTTCCCCATGTTCATTTCCTACGTTTGCTTTTTTACTGGGCAGGTTAATATTCACACATGTGAAAAGGAAGCAGGAGTACAATAGAGTCAACATTAGTCTACATGCAGATTTCTGAAATCTGCACATTTACATTTGATTAGAATTTAGTACAATGTATTTTATCATCAAAATGGTAATCAGGTTAAGAAGTAAGTTGACACAGGTGACAGGGCTGGGAGGGATACAACCTTTTAAAGTCTTCTTTTTAAAGTCTTCTTTTAAAGTCTGAAAGTATGTAACTCCTTGTGTATGCACAGCAAGTGCATGCAGCTCATATTGTTCATGAAATTTGGATCAACTCCTCTAGGCTAACTATCATGAGACAACCTCCCTTCCTTATGTCTGCAACATTCAAGATAGCTGAAAAACTGACATTTGATTTTGAAAGTCTTCATCCACTTTCAGGCTGATATAAAATTTATCAGTGTATTACACAGAGATGAAAAAAATATTAGATCTCATAACATCCACATTTGACTTTGGAGACCTCACAATTTTAATGATGCTTCAAACATTCATAGAGCTCTTCAACTCTTTGCAACATGTGAAGATGATCTGTATAGCTGTTAAGTTTTTTTTAAGAAAAAAAGCTTTTTAGGGAATTTATCTTTTTCTTGTATTAAGGATCTGTATTGAATACTGCTCTTTGAGTACAGGTTTTGTCTGCTAAAATTTCTAAAGTAATATCAGATCATGAATGCATGTCCAGGACAATATTTCATTATTAATAAGCTTAATCCCCATGGCCTGATTACAGCATCATTACAGATGTCTGGTTCACACACTCCACTTTAAACCTCCACAGAAAAAACAGAAGCTGAGATGTTCACATTACAAATGCACACAAGGATATAAATTTGGACTGTGGCATTTTCTGCTGTCAAATCTCCAGAAAGCCTTTACCAAAGCCGGGAGAACGCCACAAATCCACACTGAGCCCAGATATTAGCAGAAGAAAATTCTAATTACTTGTTCCTATGGAAAGAGGGGGCCTCAAGTGGGCTACACGTTGCTATGCTGTTCTGTACAGATTTGCATGAGGCAGCTTTTGAGTGTCATTTTCCTCTTACTTTTTCACTGCTTCATTTTACTACTCATGCAGTAGAGTTGCTCTTAGCTGCATAATACAGCTTCATAAACTCCTGTGCTTACTGTATATGAACTAGAAGTTCACAAGATTGTGAAATAAATGGATACATTCAACCTAGGCTGAAAATAAATATAATTTCTGTCACTGTTTTGATTTTAAGCTTCTTTTTTTCTTTTTATACACATAACTGATTTAGTTATCGCTACTCCATGCATTTCAGTTGTCCTGTTGATAGAAATGCATATAGCACCTTAATATCTTCCTGCTGCTAAAATGTTTTCAGTTCTTAGGGTGTAAAATTGCATTATAATAATGAGGGAACTGTGCAAACATACTGTAGGCTCCTCTGGTATCTCTGATTTATACTAATAACATGGAAGAAACTGGACACACACAGAGGCAGAACCTGAACAAGAACAGAAAACAGGAGGACTTTCCATCTTTTTGAAAACACAGGAGTCCTCCCTACTCAAAGCTAGGAGCTTTACTTTGCAACGTCTAGATTATTTGAGCTACGTTCGACTTAATCTCTTATAGATTTTAAAAAGAAAGAGGGTAGAAAACGTCTTCCTCCCTCTGTAGCTGTCATCTCTGACAACGATCAAATTACACCGAGTGATAATAACATTTAAAAATTACCCACTAATTTGTGTAATTCAAATTCTTAGGCTTCTTCGATAAATCAGCAGCTTCTCGACAAGTTAGAGCTCCCCTTTTCTCTTGAATGTGATGCTGAACACGCCTTCTAAGGTCGCATTACCCTCGAGAGCTCAGGCAGCTCTGAGCTGAAGAAAAAGTACTTTTAGGTGAATAAAAGGGGCAGTTACGATAGAAAAAGAACTATGTTGTACTAACAGAAAAGAGGCAGATTCGATGCTTAAGTTGCTGTTTTGGAGGAAATAGGTCCTAGTAGCATTAGGATAGGGGAGCAGAAAATATTTACAGAAGTTAGTTAAATACATGTTCAAAATGAACATCATCATCATCTTATTTGGAATCAGCCTGATCATAAACTGACAGGATGCTAAAAAAGTTATTAAATCTTACTAGAGGTGGCTAGGATTTTTGTGAATCTCCCAGTGAAGTGTTTCATTTCTCACTAATGCTAGGATTATCTTCTTGACTCTGGAAAGAGAGTGTCTGGCATAACCTTTCTGTCTTTCCAAGGCTCTTCCACATAAAAAATTGTGTGCTCCTCATCCAGCACCAACTGCAGGTCTAAATTCTCAACAGCAAAATATGCTACTGGGTAGAAATACTGTCAGAACATGAAACAAAAAGCAAGAATCACCTCTGCACTGCTTCCAGTACTTTCATGTCACTCTCAAAAGGACATTAGTTCAGAGATCCAATAAGGAACATCAGAAGGACCTACACTGTCAACTTCTTGTGATACTTCTCTTACAGTTATCTTCCTTTTCAGGACTGCAAGGAGAACTAGAAGTAAATCATGCTTTTCTTTCACCTCTAATTTAAGAAAATGCAGATGAGTTCTCAGGTACTTCAGTACAGATCTCCCTAAATTAAAAAGAAATAAAAATCTTAATTCTAAAGCCATGGAAAATGTCTGATAACCAGACAACTGAGCACCAAATTTGTTAGTATTTTTGCAAGGGAAGCAGAGATCATTTCAGAACAACCTAAATATGGAGAATCCATGTGGGTGAACAGTCCTCAGAAAGAATGAAGGATTGTTAAGGAAAAGTGCAGATTCTTCATGAAAGACAAAGAATACACTCTCTCTTTCCTAAAAACGTAAGTGAGGTTGGTTATACATATGAACAGTTGGTGACACAAAGTCACAAAAATTCCAAAATAAAGCATCCCCACTTAATGAAAATACTAGATTATAACATGATCCAGAATAAGGGCAGCGATAACATTACAATAAAACTAAGCAGAAGGGCCAAATGCTCTCTGACAATAATCAGAGTAGACACTCCTTCCAAGCGTTTAAAGTTCCTGCTTTGTCACACAGTAGACTCTTTCTTGAGATCCGTGTATGGATGGGTGACTGCCGAAATAATTATGCCAGAAACCAGGTTTTATTAAGGACTGGATCTCATGCAAGAGCTGAATAGCAAATATGTTCTCCTTATTGTCAGGAGCCTCATTTAACTAGCCAAGAGCATTTTAGATACTTCCTGAAAAGTTATTTTACTGCTCCTAGTTTAAGCTCCATATTTTCAGAATTTGTGTATGTGTAGTCAGTGTAGCTGTACATGCAAATGACTGCTTAGAAGGCTGACTGCTCAGCTGTCTATAAGACTTCTGCAGCCACATGCACAATCAAGACAAATTAATTGCATGCCCATTTTTATGTAGTTGAGTGATTTGGAACAACTTTTCTTTTTCTCAAAGCAAAGCTCAGACCTCTCAAGAAGATCTTTGATCAACCTAATAGAAACATCCTTCCCTTTTTGCTGCAGTCTGCTAATACTTAGTGATCAGAAGTGTTTTTAAAAAATGGAAAAATGAAACTTGATACAGTTTATGTTTCTACAGAGCCTAATAATGCCCAAAATGATTTGCTTCACTTCTGAATCTCATTTCTCAAGGTCACTTAAGCAATTTAGGACTCTAAATGTTTCACTTCAAAAGTGACAAAGAGCCCTACTGCATCTGAACAGGAATTCTAAAATCAGTCTAAGAGAAATCACTTCAAAATAAATTTTAAATAAAAAATTAAAATGTCAGTTCAAAGTCTGGCTCAAGAAACTGTGTGGGAAAACAGGAGAGTATGATGAAAAATGCATGTAAATCTGTACACTTCAGATACATGATGCAGGATATCTTACAGGCAAGTTCAGGGTCCTGTCTTGGATGCTCTGCTATATAAACCCAAGTAAAACAAGTAATTGTCCATATATGTGCTTTACTCCATAGCAAATATGATGACATTTTAAATTAGCCTACTCCCAAACTATCCATGGCATCTTATTTCTGTCTCTAACGACGTCTTGCAGAAAGGAACTTGGGTGCAGCAGGGCTGT